ACAAACTTTTGTTGTTGAGCTGGGTGACAATTAATTGTAGCGCATTTGGATTACTGATTACTTGTTTTAATTGACTTTTTGGCCTCCTAAGTTTGTTTTTGTTAATCATAGGCATGATTCGCACATTCTCCGTCATGGTCGTCGTTGGGTGGTGAAGACTCACCAAAGAGCCCTTGTACAGTGCTATCGGCGATGTGTGCCGCAAACAAAATGCTGAACAATTTGTCCTGGTTGACCAACGAGGATCAAAGAGTCCGGTGCTAGCCATCGTCCGAGCCAACAAGATAGAACAGAATTGACCAACTGAGTTTGGACCCGCCATATGGCTATGTGGAGCAATGTCGAATGACGCGCGCCACGAACTGCGATCCGCACGAAGCTTTCTGCGAAAACAGCGACACTTGGCCACGGACTGGAAGCTCGTCGCCTTGGATGGCCAAGCTTGACGTGTCCAACACGGTGCTCGCCCTGGATCTATGACCCGAAGGCCTATAGTATCTATAGTATAGGGTCAGGTCTTTAATCGAATAAGTAATATGTAATAGGACATGCATGAATTTTCGCACACTTTTTTCGTCTTCTCGGCGCATGCGTGCTATATTTTCAGCCTCAGCACACTGCGCATGTAGGCCCTACCTGGAGTGCTGCAGCGGGTCGCCCCTTTGTCAACAAAAACTCATGCAGGTGTCGACTAGATATAGCGCAAAAGACAAGATATGCGGTTTTCATTGACGGACCAACCAAGTTGCAGCTGTCTCTGCATGCTTTTGCCAGGCCGGACCTCACATGAGGATACATGAGGGGTCCGGCTGCCAAACTAGAAACCAAATGAAACCAGCAAATCCAACTGCAACATGCGCCATCCTGAATGATTGTGGCCACATGTGGGCACTGCCGATTTCAGGGCATGTGAGGACACATGGTTTCTATCAAACTCAGCAATCTTTGCGAACAAGTCGCCCAGTTGTTCTTGGGCCTTTTGTACCTGATTGTCACCATAGCCTCAGAAGACGAGCACTCCTTCACCGTCACCTGCTATCGGATGTTATCGGATGCGACGCCAAGAAATGCGCCTTGGGCTGGTTTTTCTAGGTCGCTGGTTGACACCACGAACACTTGGAAAACAGGAGCCTGTCACCCCGACATGGTGTTTTTCTGTTTTGCATTTCTCCTGCGCAAATCAAAGGCCACGCATATGCTGAACCACAAACTCCGTGGAGAGTGATATTGGAAGTGCCAAGTTGCTCTTCAATCTTTCCATGGCCTTTGCCCATGCAGCCTCCGACTGTGAGAAGTCCGACTCGAGCGCCAAGGGTGGGTCCTATCGCCACACTCTGGAATGGATTGACGGATTGTTTGGATACATTAGTCGTGTAAGGCCAGGAGACCCTAGTAGCGTCCTTGCTACTATGACACACTTACCAGGACAGCTTGAGCCAGTTCTTGTGCCAGTCTTGCAGACCTCCATGGTTCTGCAAAGCCACGGAGACGCTTGCATTGCACCCAGTCGCCTGCATGGCATCGACGATGCGCTTCAAAGATGGCCAGCTGATCTCACCCGGCCACTCACGGCGATAGAGGACGCGGATGCTCTCGACACCTGAGGGTCGACACCATGGAACATGCTTTTCCTTAAAATGCTGTCTTGGCCGGAACATGAGCTTCAAGGACTGAATTGCTGGTATTTTCGCAACCTTATTGCTTTGGGCATGTTGTGGCTGTATGAATTTAAGCATTCAGGATGTGCTGCCACGATTTCTGGCAGCCCCTCCTCCCAACGCGCTCGCTCTCTCTCTCTCTCTCTCTGTCTCTCGTCTGTGACAACCGTCCTACAGGGGCACTCTGACATCTTTGACCGTCAAGGCAAGTTTTGCATACTCATGCATACTCTCATCCATTGTCGAAGGTACCAGCTTGCTATGAAGTGATCGTAGGATCTCTGGGACGTGGGACGGATCTAGGTGCTCTGAAGCCAATGCAGCGATGTCGCGTATGCAAAGCTCTGTTGTGCTGTAAACGACGCCAGCGTAGCCGCGTTCTCGCCAGTTGTCACCTATGTTTGCTGCATTGCCATTTCATTCCAAAGTGATTCATTCAATGTGAACTAAAAGGATCTAAAAGGAACAGAACTAGACCCAGCATGTTCAAAATTGAAACGAGAACAGGCTCTTCTCCAATGCACACCCAAAATAAACGTGATATGTCTGATACGTTCAATGTCCAAGGAGCCATTGCCAGAGGAAGAAACAAGGATGTCTGAGATGCCTGGTACACCACGCTCCGCAGTGTTAGCTTTGAACCTCAAGTTGACAAGCGGGTATGAACTTTGGTATGAGGTTAAGGTGATGGACAAGCTCTTACAACATACTGGACATTAGTTGTAATTATTGACTATAGGTTGTACGAGCGCCACGGTTGCTGTACTGCAGAGAATACAGCATCTGTAATATAGGAATAATATGTGAGTCATGTGTCTTGATTCAAAATATATAAGCTTTCGCCTAGAATTTGAGAACTTAAATTTGTTTGCACATGGTGGACACCCGCAACATGTGCACCGTGCGTCGAACCCCTTCAAAGGCCGAAAAGGACCAGGAGCTCAATTGACGTCTTGGTCAAGTACATCAGCACCAACATGAAGTTAAACATACTTGAATATAGGAGCATCAAGTTACTAAGTTCCGAAGGTTCCAGTGAAACATCAAAGGAGTGCTGGTATGGCCAAGGCACTCTGCAAGGAGCACTGTTTTGCCTGTATCTCGGGCCTTCTGCAGGTCCATGGTGCCTTAAATATGCTGCAAAAATTAAATACTGCAAAAGGGTTTACACTTGATTCAACATTGCCGTAAATGAACACCTTGATAATTCTGCACCCTCTCCCTTGCCGTTGCGGATGATTGGTTGCAGACCGAAGCAAAACGTCAAGACTTTTGATGGCTTTCATTTAACGAGGCGGCTCCATACATAAAACTTATTGTTCCCAGAAAGCTGGCTGACTTCAACCTTTGGATGAACTGGTTGGCCGCACAAAACCCAAACTCTTCAGAGTCGAAGGATCTGCAAGACTTCTTGATCCCTGCGGGGGAAAGGTGCATCTGACTTATCAAAGTCACAATAAATTCCAAGGCCATGAGATCCTTTGACCTCTTGCAAATCCTGATATGGCAAGGTCAGCAAGTGCAATTTCACTAGAGACCGCGAGGAAATCGAAGCAAAGTGAATTTTCCGCATGACTGTGATGTCTATGATGATATACTATCACGGAAGCTCCCCCGTCTCGTGGGATGTCCATTGACGGGTCGAAGGCGTCTGACGCGTTGGTTTGAGCAGGCGCTAGATGGAGCTAGCCGCTAGCCTCTTGTTGTGAACGGCTTGCGGCGCAAAGCCCGAAGAAAACAGGCAAACTGCTTCCCAGGTTAGTTTCTTAGGAGAAGCCTGTCCACCTCCTTCCAGGACAAGTAAATGGCATCTGCATGTTTTGTAACTCCCGTGGGAGGGGATGTTTCCGGGCGACTTGTCCTCACAATGCCGCCCATGATTCAAGCAATCTTTAAAGTTTGTACAAACAAATATGCCAGCTGTGACTAAAAGCTCATTGTTGAATTATGGCTCATACGGCATATACCATTATATGTTTGCCGTGCTTGTTTGCTTGTCCTTGGCATAGAGCTCAAAGCCGATGGAGTCAAAGAGCTGCACGCAGTAATAAGCATCTGAGTAGCGGACACCGTTGTCAGTTGTCAAGTAAATGCAATGGCTGTAAGCAAAATAGGTTTTCCCTTATCTGGTTTGCTACCCTATTGAAGACCACAACAATCCGTCATCCCTTGTCTTTAATCCTTGAGCCCAAAATCAAGCATCTGATGCTCGTGCTTTGACACATAAAAGACTCTTGACTAAGAAGCCCCCCATATGAACAGGTATTGCAATGCAAGTCTGGGCGGTTTTATTAATCAAGAGTATTGATCGTCCTGCATTGATGATGTTTGAGAGTCTAAAACTATACCAGTACTATAATAGTCATCGACTATAGTCTACGGTCTTCGTTGAAACATGACCTTTCTTCGCCTCGAAACGTGTCTTCACCTCTTCGTCCAAGCCGCGAAACGTCACATCGCGACACCGAAGCATGGCGCCCGCGGGTGACGCGTCTGAGCCAACGGGACCGGGTCGTTCGATCGACGCGGAAGGAGAGTCTGAGTAGCGTTCGGTCGCCAGCCAGGTCGCTTCCAACTGCGAAATCAGAAAAAGCGGAGACGGAACGAACAAAAAGAAAGTAATAAATGTAGACCCTTGATTATCTTGATAAATAAACCCGTCATATGAAGAGGATTTCCAGTTGCTTACATTATATACCTAAAACCCATTTCTACATAGTATGCAATGGATAGTATTGCCTGTATACAATGGGGTATATATACTTATATACATTTCTTACTTGCTAGCATTGTACACGTTCTAGACCCATTTTGATATTAGTATACCATCCTTGAAATGGGTTTTAGGTATACAATGGGATATTGTGATGTAGTATACAATGAACAAATCAAGGCTAGCTCTGCTCGTCGACGGAAAAGACGATAGCCGATAGCAGTCAAAAGAGAAAGACATGGGAAAAGAATATGAAAACAGCCACTTCCCCTGGCTCAACACCAAGTGGCCAAGGCCGCTGATATAAAGCTTCTCATCTGGAAGTGGCTCCCAATCCTGCCATGGAACCGGGGCCCAAAGAAACGCCTTTTCGGCGAAGTGAAACACATTGCGGTCGCCTCACAAGCCTGGAAGGTGAAACCATTGCGGTGGACCAGCCTCAGGGAATAAATGCATTTCGACCACAAAGTCTTAATTGCTTGGGCTATATTGTGGCTTAACTTTGCTTAAAGTTTAAAGGTTAAACATGACATCAGCACAAGACTCGGATGGAAAGAATCGCACGTTGCTAGCAAATATATTTAGAACTGCAGGTTTGTTTCAAGCAAAACAATTGGTGTGTCGCACCATTAGCCAAAATATGTGCCAATATAACATGTGGCTCCCAGCCCTGCCCCTAGCTTGCCTTTAAGAGCTGAACCAAGAAGTGGTGACTGAAACAAATGACACGCGGTTCTATAGCCACTTCTTCTCACTCGCACACGTACCGGTCCAGTCTTCATCAATCTTCCGAATGTCCCCTCGGAAGCCAGTCCGATAGAACATGATAGAATATGCACGTGGAACCTTTTTCCGCTCTGTCTTGCGGAAGTCTCTGAGTGTTCACTATCCTCGCGTGGTCGGTGCATGCCCTGGCTGGCACAAAACCCAAACTTTTTCGGCTGTTTTACTTCAAAACAACTGCAAAGCAAAGTGTGAAACAGCTGAGTCAATGCAAGACATATCATCAAGCTCCGGACCATTAACACTTCAAGTCACTTGAGCTAAGGAACCATAACGCCATTAAACTGTCAAAACATAGTGTCCGAGTGTCTCTCACCAGCTGTGTTCCGTCAGTCGCCTCAGGCACATACTCGAAGCTCTGCTCAACCTCGAGAAACGTGTCGAGCAAAGGGCACCCAAAACTTGCTTGAAGTCAAATCCTAAGTGCTGATTTGCTTGGAATCATTTGGAATCCCAGCTGACCACCAGGTAGTCTTGTCTGCAAGCACTGCCTGGCTGCTTCCCCAAGTGGCCCAAGATGGAAATGAGCACCAAATAAAGGCCAGCAGATTTGGACAGCATCTGACCTGAACTTGTCAACACAGCGTCTCGCCTTTATGCCAGCGATGTACTCCTGGAAGCTCTGAGGGCATCCAGGGTCACTATGGTCATTGGCCTGAACAAACGGGGCAGCGCATTAAATTTATTTTTGCATTTGGGTGACAGCTTCAAGGACAACTTCGCTGCTGCTTCGCTTTGACGCATCTTTCTATGGAACCGCCAGATCAAGCTTCCAGCATGTCAGATTCAGCAGCATTCACAAAGACCGATCTAGTACGGTTGTGTGGCCTTCATATTGTATCATATTGTCACTGCACCTTTCCAGGTTGCAGCCACCATTTGATCACCAAAATTGCACCATGTGGGAAGGTGCAAAGCGCTAAGTGAGACTGCTCAGAATCCATGTTGAGCGTATGGCTCACCTGGGGTCCAATGCATCAAGCTGATATTTTGCGCAGGAGATTCGGCACTTCACTTGAAGACATGTATTTATGGACGACGCGCACACACACACACACACACACAGCGACTTGCTGGAAGTTTCCAGCACAGTCCTACACATCGTTCCTCACGGGGTGTCTTCTTGAGGACTCCCAAGACTTTAAAGGGGGAAATCATTGAGCATCACAATATAGCATCGCTTATGGAGCATGTGAGCCGCTACACTATGTTATACGCTGTGAAACCAGTCCCAGAATCTAAGGGGCATGACAGGGGTTACGGTAGTATATTTGTAATGAAACACAACAAGAGTCAGAAGAACCCTGGAAAGGACAGCAAGAATATCTTTGGGCCTCTCCCTGGAAGGAAAAGTGGGGTCCAAATAGTTCACCGAATCCTCATGTGGAGCTTGATCGCCTGTGCTCAAAGAGTGGGAACAGGGACCAGGGAGGTGCTGTTGCCAAACTCCTATCCATCAAGGTGACCCGTGTGTGCTCCGCCTTTTGACCTAACAAAGCAACATCCTTTCAACATTATGCAATTAGCTGTGCACCACTCTCTGTTTGGCCGAGATTCTTCTGAAGTTCGTGTGGCCCATGTGCATAGCTGCATTGCATCCCCCGGGTGCAGGTGCCTGTCCAAAAAGGCTAAGATGATGCGACGTCATCTCGTGACGTGCCCAAGTCTGAGCGGCTACTACTGCTCGAAACAAATCTTGTGACCATTAGACCATTCTTGCTGGCCTTTCAAAAAGAAGGCACACATCACCGTCTTGAATTTTCCATCATCATTTGGAGCCTTCCCGCCATTCTTGCCCAAAGCCATCATTCCACCGCCTCAGAAAAACCATCGAATACCAGGTGCATATTTGAAAGGCTCAGCACCTGCGCCATGACAGTCAGGTGAGCACAATACGTCGCATTTCCATAGAGATTGCCGAGCGGCCTTTTGCCATAGGTCCTTTGCCAGGCATGGGTCCTTTGCCCATGCCACCCATGCCGCCCATGCCGCCCATGCCACCCATGCCACCCATACCGCCCATGCCCCCCATACCGCCCATGTCACCCTTGCCCATCGGAGCCTTACCTATCGGACCCTTGCCTCCTCCTCCTCCTGGCGCTCCTCCTTTCTCAAGTTCCCACGCCCCGTGAGCAAATGTGCAGGACTCTGCACGCTGGCACCATCCCTGCGTCTCGAAGAACTTGCACATCACTGTCTTGTAGTTGTGCGGTTTGCCTGCAAAATCCCACCAGCAGCGCCACTTGCTGGTGCTCGTCGCGCACACACACAAAACAGCAAATGCAGTGAGAAAGGCAAGCAAAACAACTTGATCTGACTCCCATGACTCCCTCCCGCAAACATGTCGACACGCAATTTCAAGACAAAGTTAGGAGTGCAGCTAGGCCAGTTTGTCCATGTCAAATCTATATACAAGCGTCTTGCTGGCCTCCGTTTGCCTTGCCATCTTTGCCATCTTTGCCACCTTTGCCTCCCCAGCCACCCCATGAGTTCATCATCATATTCATCATGTTCATCATACCTGAGACGAGGCAACTTCTGGCTTTTCATCACCAACCTCAACCAACCTCATAAACATGATGAGAACATGATGATGATAAACTGAGACATTTGACTCTGAGTCCGACTTAATCATATATAATATAGACTGTTGATTACCCCGACATTGAGCTTGCTCTTACATCTCGATAGGGTCTTTTGTTGATCTCTCTAATCAACAGTCAACATGAATGTAATGGAGACTCGTGATTAGTAAAAATGGTTCATAAAAACTCAGGTTTGTTGGTTTATGTTTTACAACGATCTTTCGAGCCAAACCGTCTGAGCCGTACGGGCCCAGGCGCCACCTTTCGGACCTTTGCCCTTGCCACCCGGGCGTGAATCTCTGGGCGTCGCGAAGACCACCGTCACGGGATCGGTGAGGTTCTGCGGCACGTTGCCTAGCGAAGGCGAAGGCGTTCACCGGGTGTTCGGTTCAGCTTTGACGTCCGTGCGTCATGCCACGCGAATCTTTGGAAACAACATGAAACAACCGGAACAAATCAACAAACCTAACTATAGCAGTATACTATAGCAATATATAATCTCTTTGCAAGTTCGCAATGTCCCTCATAATACCTCATAGGTGGGGTTCCAGAAACTCCTTTCTGCGCAACGTCCGTTGCGGCCACTTGTTTTCCCTGTTCTCCAAGCAGCCATTCACATGTTCCACAATCCACTTGGCGTCATCCACCTCGCCACAAAAAGCATCGATGAGAGACCAACACAACGGCTTCTCTCAAAGAACCAACAGAATCACATAGCAACAAGGATGGCACGAGGCGAACGTCCCTGTGAAACGTTGTGGAACGTGCCCAGTTCAGAAGAAAGTGACTTCGAAGTCCTTCTAACAAAAAAGTACAGTAACCACTATTAATATACTTGAGACGTTCACATCACAACTTATAAACTACGAGTCAATTATATATAGACAAAAAAAATATCCGGGCTATGCAAGAATAAACTGCCGTCAACAGAAAACTTGTTTTTCCAGTAGGTTGAAAGTAGAGAGCAAGATAGAGCAAGTAAATCATAAACTTGACATACTCCTAAAAATTACAAACTTCCTTGAACTATTGCAATAATAAACCGCACTTTCACCTGTACAACAAAACACATCTTCAAACACTATTGGTATTTATATAATTGATTAATCAATAAGCATATTATATAATTCATTCAGGTCTGACCTGCACTCTGCATATGGGAACTTTGACCGTCCGGGCCATGTGAACGGCTCATCGCAACGTGGAAAGAACTAAGGCAACCTTGTACTCCCCTGACCGTCCCAAAAATGGATGACGTGACACACTTTCGATTGGGCATTGCAAGTGTCACCCATAGAATTCACTCTTTGAAATAATCATGGAAGTGGATGGCATGGCGGCAAGGATAACCATAATCGAATACCATTTTCCTCTACCAAGCAGTTGGTGAACTCGGCGAAACCGCTCCAGTTCTGCGAGTTGGGCGCGGTATGCTGCCCCAGGCGCGGTATGCAAAATGACAAAGGCAGCGGCTGCTGTCTTCCCGGCAGCGACTGGCAGCACAGTGACTTCCTTCACTGAGCCGTACTGACTGAAAATATCCTGGCAAAGTCCAATCAGCAGGCAAAAACTGAAGTAAGACAGCACAAAGTTGCAATTTGCCTTTTCATACAGTATTCCTCTCTGGCGAATGCAGGACACACAACATAAAGGTTGCAATTGTTTGATCAAACAGGGTGCCGCCTTTGTGAACTCCTGAGTCACATCCATCGGAAGACCGGTCACAAAGAGTGTCTCACTGGGCGGAGGTCCCTGCGCCATGGCTTCAAGCGGTCACCAACGCAGCGTTCGTGGTTCCAAGAAAAGCGCTTCGCACCCGTTTGGTGAGAGAGCTTTGTTTTGGCGTTGGTGGATGCTGGTGTTCGCTCAATGTGCTGAATGTTCAGTTGCAGCGCTTGCAGTGCGTGTAGGTCATATCTTGGTCTGCAGCATCGTGATGCCGCATGATTCTGCCATGGTGGTGCGAAACAAACTGATTGAGCATTCCGCGGCGAACATGGCTCCATGGAGGTCAGCAAACTAAGTTTCCCTAAACATCTAGGAGCCAAATGAATAGTGCGAGCACTTCTTCATGGAATCTCCCTCCCCGCTTCCTTTAGGGCGGCGGGCGGCGGGGGGGTTCCTTGAAGAAGCATGAGCTATCCTGCGTCCTAAGTAGCAGCTACTTGAGCTACTAGCTACCTAGCTACTACTAGCTACCCCCACCCCCGGGCAAAAAAATTAACATTGTTTTGCAAAATTCAGTTGGTGACTCCAGTGAGATGGTCCCAAAGCTTCAAGCGTTACAAAACGCTTCTGCCTCGTCACATGGATGGCCTTCTTCGGCCAGAACATCCAAAACGCTGGAAAGCGCTTCAGCAGTCGCCTGGGGGAAATGGTCAAGGCTTTGAAGCAATGCACACAATAGGTGTGGTCAAGAGTTGACCGCGTGTTGCAAGAGTGTTTGGAGGGAACAACGCTTGAACTAAGAATGAATCACCCCATCTTGTGCCTCTGGCTGGTAGCCGCCTTGCAAGGTGCAAACCACCCGTTGGCACAAGTGGCCTCGATTGCATGCGAAGCATTGTGGGGCACCACAATGTTCCATAACAAAATTGATGGGTATGACACGTGAAGAGATGCTTACTCTTGTGCCATCTTGTGCCCACATGCTCTCAGTGCCCTACAGCAACGTCGTACCACGCGTTGGAAGAAGCTGCTGCTCAAGCACAAACCCGCCAGGCATGGATCGCCCTGCAGCGTCAGTTGCTCAAGCAATCCGTCCACCACACCCGATGCCAATTGTTGCAAGATGTTGCAAGTCTACCACTCTTTACCTGATTTCCGCCAACGAACTAACTGGCAATCACCGTCTCTGATGTCTTTCAGTGAGCAGTGAGTTTTCAGAATCGAGTGTTATCACGAATGGCCGGTCTTTTTCTGCATCGTGAAAGTGTGCAAGGTTCACTCAACAAGTTGCCAAATGCTAATTAAGGTTCGTTTTCCCAAGGTGATTCTTGAATACGACCGCCAACATTGCAGCATAAGTCCTCCCTGTTGCCGAGGCCTCCAAACCGTCGAAGCCCAAGGCTAAGAACAAAACCTCCGGGGAGAAGGCCTGCGGTTCCCCCGAAGGCGAGGGAGAAAGGGAAACATGGCCCATTGGTTTGTAAACAAGTTCTTGTTTTTCTTGTTTTTCTCCAGGAAGCGACACCAGTGTGACCGTCAGCGACCCCCACCTTTAGACAACGGCCATGAAAAACATGCTGATATATTATATGTATAGTATGGTTGTGTGAATAACGGGGGGGGGTCCTTGACCTCATTTTATAGGTATAAAACGGTTATGCCAAACCCCCCAATGTGAATAAACTTGTGCAAGTAGAAATTTGAGGGTCCTATAAAACGAGAGGTTCAACATCATCTTTGATAGCTGCATCACTAGTTGTTTTTCATAGCTGCGTTCCAAAATTCTGCCCCTCAGTAACTGCCTAAGTCTTTAGATGTTAAAAACTGAAAGACTTTGTGAACCACCCTCACAAAAACACTCAAATCACTATAAAATGACTCGCCTGACCCGCCCAGTGAGGGAGGTATTAAACGTTTTATATGAGGGGTTATCCACCCTCATTTCATAGAGGAAATTTGACATAGCCATTGTATAGTAGTGGTTGGTTGACCTGTGTTTTTTTCATCCTGGAATGGCCATTCTTAGCACAAAAAACTATTTTTTCGCGGCCTCATCGCGAAGCATGGTCCTACAACCATGTCTAGCTAACATGAACCGGAACTATTAAAAGACTCTAGCGGCTGACATCTTGCAGCATGACCCCGGCAGAAAGTTGAGTTTCCACAGCTACCCAGGGTCACTTGCAGGATCTGTGCGACATCAGTCCGGCAAAAAGTATCCTAAGTCCTGGCGGAGGCTTGGAATAATAGACTATGAACAAAGTCAGGCGCAACTCAACCCAATCCCCGTGCCAGCTTGGGGAATGTTGGGGCGTCTCAAGCTGGGAACCTGGACTTTAGCGGCGCATTCGCGAAGCTTCCGCAAAATGTTATGGGCGACTTCCCCGGTAAGGCGCAAAAACTGCAAACATCTGCACAGCCCGTCAGAGAAGCTGCAGGTCGTTGCCTCACATGAAAGCAAAGACCTTCGATAAATCTTTCGCGGAAAGATTTGATACTTTCGCGAACCTCATCGCGAATCTTTCGCGGATGGTTTTAAGAACATCTGAAATCTGAAGGCTGTTTTGTATAAAACTAGGGCTCTAGATCAACTCCAAAAAAAAAATATATATATATATATATTGAGGCGTAAGAGCGTTGAGGTTGCCTGGGATGGTCGGTGCACGGAGTGGGCCGGTTGGGCGCCACGTTGCGCACCACCCCAAGCACCACTCCGAGCACCACCCCGAGCAGCACTCCGAACACCATTTTGTAAGTTTTGCAGCGCTGAACCCACTCCACATCGTGACATGTTTTCGTCTTCTTGAAAGTTCAAAGAGTTCAAATTCTTTTGCACCCATTGAGCTCCTCTTCTTCAACGAGTTGGAGTTCTTGTGTGCGCACTTGAGCAGTGATGCTCAGAATTTTCCAAGCTTCGTGTGTTCGCCGATCAGAGAACAGGCGCGGAACCCCCACTTTTCTCCGCGGAACAGGCGCGGAGCAGAAAAACATAGAGAAAACAGGTTCTGCGCGTGTTCCGCAGGTGTTCGCGCGCTGGCTGAAGAGGCGCCGAACCTCTGCAGATCGAGCCCTCAGAACCTCCGCGGAACCTATTTTCTCTACGTTTTTCTGCTCCGCGCCTGTTCCGCGGGCGTTAACGCGGATGTTCCGCGAAGGTTCTATAGGGGTTCCACGGGGGTTCCGTGGATGTTCGGCGGGTGTTCGCGCGCTGGCTGAAAAGGCGCGGACCCCGGCGGAGCGTGCGCGAACCCGCGCGGAACAGGTGCAGAACCCTCGCAGAACAGGCACGGAACGCGCTCGTGCGCACACAGGCACACGAATGTGTGCCCACTTGAGCAGCGGTGCTCCGAGTGACTCCAAGCATCGTTCAAGATTTGGTATGTGCTCGCTGATTAAGTTCACTTCGGTACACAGGCCGTGTCAAATAGATGAAATAGATGAACCTGCTGTGACTCTATTACATCATATTACAGCATATACATTATAACTGTTATACCATATATAGTTTTTGTGATAGATGAGAGCACGTGATGAAACACAGCCAGCATGTGGACGGACAAAACAATCTCGGTCGAGACGAGAAAAGAACTGCAGAGGCAAGAGAGGGAAGAGAATTGGTGTCCAGGCGTTAGCGTGTTCTCTCTGTATGGCACCAAGAAGGCATGACTTTTTGGCAAGGGTGCATTTTTGAAGTCAGTTACCTTTAAATTCCCACCCGTAGTGAAGAGATGTCACGAAAAAACATAGCACTGGCCACATCGATTCCCAACGAAACTTTATAACAACACCTCACAAACCTGTTTTACCTGCTTGACGCTTGGAGTACGCAAAGTGTGTGATGGATGGAACTACACTCGCTCGCATGTAAAAAACAGGTACAAGTGCTGCAAGAGCATACAACACATGATAAAAACAATGTGTTTTTCAGGGTGCACAGGTTGAATTCTGGGATGGAGATGAAGACCCCCCCTGCGCACCACCCCGCGCACCACTCCGAGCACAACTTTTCAAGGTTCAAATAGACTCACCACCCCGCGCACCACTCCGAGCATCACTTTTCAAGGTTCAAATTGACCACCCCCCCGCGCACCACCTCGCGCACCACTCCGAGCACCACCTTTCAAGGGTCCCATTGACCCCCCCGACCCCCCCTCCTGCGCACCACCCCGCGCACCCCTCTGAGCACCCTGAAATCATTGATTTTCCACGTTATGTTATTTTGAATGTCGACGCTTGTATGCCTATATCAATATAATATATATATATATAGAGAGAGAGAGAGAGCTCTATCAATCCCGTGTTCACCAGGGAGGTCGCTGACGTGTTCTTGAGAAGCCTGGGGCAGCCTGTGGCCCACTCCAGCAAGGAGTGGGATGTGTCCAAAAACATGCACATGCACAAAGTACTGCAGGAACCCGAGCAACCTATCAACATCGCATAACAAACTTATCAAGATCTCCCGAGTTGTTGACTAAATACCAACTCAACACCAGCTGAACTCGTGCTGCCAAATGCACTTTGCCGATCCTGCAAAGCCGGGAAGGCAAACTCCTCGAAGCACAGTTGAGAAACTGCTCTGCTAATATTTATTTGCATGTCCCTTTCTTTGTGTGTAAGTTTGCCAAATTGACCCGCACATTCATCAGTGTGTTGGTTGATTCATGTTTGTTGACGAAGCAATGTCGACCTCTGACCCATATTGCCCCACGAGACTAGTGGCGCTACTTCGTGAAGCTGGGACAAAAAAAGTAAATGCAAATTGCTTGAAAAGGGGGGTTAAGACCATCAATGGACTCCAGCTTCCTATAGGATATTTTTGGCACAACCGACTGCAAGTGTATATGCCTTTAAAATCCCTTTTGCAGTAAGCGGTGGATGTCGAGCATGCCATTTGGCAGTTAAACAACAATGATCCAGCATGGCTGGGTGCAAACCCTGACGGGGGGGCCTGCACCATAGAATAAAGTGTGCAACCCTTGCAGCGCTTGGGATCTGCTCTCTATCACATGGTTCAGCTCAACCTTTTGGTGTGCTGAAGTAGAGTCCACCTCTTGCCCAGAAAATGAACTACTGGAAAAAAACACGTATTCCAAGGTTGAAAATCATTCTACAAACACATGTTGGACAATGTCGATCCTGCTCGCTTGCACAATCAAGTGCAGCAGTTCATGACAGATGCTGATCAGCATCTGCTTTCACGTTATAAAGCAAACCTCAACCTCTACACTCTACACATGCAAATGCCTGCTGTACAATCCAGAACAAACCTACTGCACCTGGCTACCTGCCAACCACTCGGAGAACAACTCTCAAGCTTCCACTCATCCATTCGCATTCTATAAACAAAATGTGGGCATTATGTTAAAACAAAATCAACTCAACCTTTTCAGTCACTTATCATTTTGTCATATTTTGTCATACGACATTTTAGTTTGCACAGTAAAGCATCTTGAGGTGAGATTTCATTCTACAGGGCCAGTCTCTATAAAATGACCCTGCTATTGCGTTTGTTGCGTAGGGATCCTTTAAACATCGTTATATAAGCATATTTTAAGCATATTTTGCAACCTTCAGCCAGTCCGTGAAGCCAGTTTGAACTGTCCTCTAGCAATTGCCAGGCTTCTACGTCACCCGCACCTTGCTGCCAATCGAACACGGGAGAGTGATCAAAGAGCCATCAGATTGCACATGCGGTGGTCCAAGTCACCTGTCTTCCACTGGCCTCCGACCTCCAACCTAAGAGCGATGGCCTCATGCAGTCGTCCAATTCCTCCTGCCTTCTGGCAAAGGTAAATTCAATGTAAAGCCTTCGCCAGCACCCCTCCCTCTCTCCTCCACCTGAGAATGGTCAATTTGTTGGAGCTGGCCACCCTGGGAGGATCTGGATTCTCTGGTGTGAACAAGGAAGGCATGGCCACAGCAAGTGGATGAGTTCCCAACCACACTCGACCAGCTTGCAAAAAGGTGAGGGGAAGACAGTCTCATTGGCCCAATGTGGTCTGAACTACGAGAAAGACTCGCCTTGCCCTTCAGGAAAGGGAAGAAATGCAGGTCAGACCTGGTGGAAGGAAACGTTAAGGGACCTTCTGAGCATCAACACTCCACCGGCAATTGAAATGTCTGAGAAATGGGCTGGTTCAGGTGCATGGAAATGCAAAGTACATCCGCGTCCTGCATCAGTGTAGTGTAGCAGCTTTCTACCAACAGGTCTGGAGTCAGCATTGATCATACTCTTATCATCAAACCTGTCGTGGAACACCTGGGTATCATCACGACTTACCAGCACCAAGCAGCCTTGCCCGAGGTAGTACCCACATCTGATGCAAGCATACACAAGCACAACAATCATCAACCAACCTGCAAGCCTTTTTGACAAATCGGGCACAGGACCCAGTGCCCTGCGGCTTCCCCATCCCACTCTCCATTTCACAAAACAATACATATCATTGTAAACTGTGGGTCTTCCAAGCAAGTTAGGACAGTTAGGAGTATCCACAATCAATGGAGTGCGGAATTTGCTGCTTGCTTCCCTCGTGCTGCAAGCGAGCAGTAAAACCAGAGCGAAGAGTCAACCTGACCCCCTCAACAAACAGAAACTCAAACAACAATTTCTCGAGATAATTGAAACAAAGACGCTGGCAATGAGATCATCAATATGCAGTTCAAACATGTTGAGAAGTGAGAGAGGAGTTCAAGTAAACAACTATATACATAGTGGTGAAACATTCCGTGCATGTCAATGCACATGTGTTACCTTGGTGCCCCTTGCTCTCACACAGCCAACCAAATTAGCCTCCAGGTGGGACGCATCCATAGGGGACTGAGTTCCGGCAGCCAGCAACAAGGACAGTCACCACTGGTCATCAATTGACACTCACAAGAACTACACTCATAGGTCCGGGGTTGGCAAATCCAAAGGTGGTTTGGATTCAAAGGCAGTGCCCTCACTGGCCTGGCAACAGCCTCCTTGGTCGGGCAACTCTAAGGTGTGCAAGTGAGTGACACTTGCACGCATCGCACTTGCACGTGTTACACAAACCGCTCACCCGCACGAAACGATTGGGCATTTTGTTTAGAGAGGGTCTTATGGTTGTAAGGAAAGATGCTGACTTGCTTTGTTGCTTGTTGCCTTCATTCTGGTGACCAACCTGGGCCCTGCATGACGACTCTTTTCGAACCAAGAAGGCCTGACGACTCTCTTCGACCAAACGTGTGACGCGACCCTCGACCTGACAGGTGATGTGGAAATGTTTGACCCATGGCCTACCCCAGTGTAGTGACTCCCCTGGAGGGTGGACGTGGACCCTGGTAAAGACGATTCTCATCCATCACCCAGTGGTTTTCAGGGTCCATGGGCTGTGAATTTGCAGGTGGATATGGGATCCTATGGGTTTCGGGCCTATTGTTCAATCCAGCTTTGGGCCTTGCTGAGCCTCGCCAGCTGTACAGGCTGCATTTCTGGAAGAAGTTTCTTTCTGCACACACTGCGACACTGCGCTCATTCATTCGCAGGATCCATCCAGAAAAAAGTGCATGTTCATTCTTCTCCAACTCCCGACAAATCAAGAGGCACATGCACAAAGTATCGTTTCTAGGCAGGGTGCCTGTTTCTTTTCATGATAAATTAAGATCAAATGTGCTCCTCCCAGTGTTGCTTTGCTTTACAGCCCAATTTGCTCCCCATATCATCCAGGTCCACCATGGTGCGGGGTTGGTATACTGTCCACTCAATCACATTACTGAACTTCAAGTTGTGATCCCTGCTCTCGTTGAGCTTCTTGTTTCTGACACACGCATTAAAGTGAAAACTCACACACCTATTACATATCTATATATATAAAAACATATCTAGTCTCTGTCTATCTATCTATCTATCTATCTATCTATAAACCTATCTATATTCATGTCAAAGCAAATGACCTTGAAACGCCCCTCGAGGAACACTAAACATATCTAAATATGTTACGCCGTTTTGCTGTTATGTGAGATGCTCGACAACAAGGGAGGAGAACAGAACAAGGCAAACTAAGCAGCGTTCGAAATACACTGAGCCACAACCCGGCTATTCTGAAGAGTACGGCTGCCAAATATCCTAGGTCATGCTCCTCTCCATGACCATGTGTCAAGTCGTACGCGGTGCTCAGATCTCGCTTGCATCACTTCTTGCGCCAAGTGGCGACTACAATTGTGTTCTCAAGCCCCTTCAGGTCTTCCACGACGCTTTTTACCTCGCAGGAGAAGGTCAGGAAGCGGCTTTGACAAATGCGGTCGAACTAACCATTCTTGCGCTCCATTTGGTGATGCCTTCTTCCAGGGATACATGTCATCTACCAGCTAAGCTGTGGCAGCTCTCTCGGAAAGGGGGCAACTGCGGCAACTCCACAATGGCGAGCTGTTTGGCGACTCTATTGGCAATTGTATGCAGCTATGCTAACTGGCAGTTCTCATAGTACTCTTGGCAGCCCTCCTATTGGCAACTCTGTTATCCAGTTCTCTGACTTGGCAGGGTCTGGTGACATCGCAGCCAAAACCTCTAGTGGCCGCTTATTTCTTTTGAGCTTGAATGCAAGGTCTTTCCTCTAGCCCTAATTACTGACAGCTGCAGATCCGGTCTTAGTGTATTTGTTAGGGCAGTTCAACTCATTCGCAACAGTTGCATGCTCTAAGGAAAGCCCTGTTGACAGTTCCAGCCAAACCTTCTCTTGATCTCGCTTTGGAACTCTTTGCGGCCGTATGGCACATACCTTTATTATGTATGTCGTGTGCAGTGGAATTCTTACCCTACAAGTCCAAAGATCCAGTAAAACCTTGTCTTTTGCCTCCTTATGTAGTGCTTGTGTCTGACCAACTCCAAAAAATGAGGTCATTGACCTGCAGGGTTATGCAGTGCGCAGTAACAGCTCATAACAGGTTCATTGGGAAATTATATATGTCGGTTGGGCTATTCGCTTGACTAAAAGCATTGGCAAACCAGTCGCACAATCAATTCCCAGTGAGGCGGTGTTGCTTACACACCAAAATATGCAACCTTCCCTTGGTCGGCAGCTTCATTTCAAGCCTTATTGTATTGGGCAGGGTACAGGTAGCCTATGCAGCTTCAATCCAATAGTCTGGCAGCGACCTACCAACCCCTTTTGGACACAATCATGCGCTACTCTCTGTCTAAGGCTCTAAGGTGTACTATGTGAGGCGTGCAACATGCAGAACAAATCTCAACCAAGGCCTACATCTCCGGGTTGCACACTGCAACATGCCAAAGTCATTCAGAACCAAAATCAATCTGGTCACTTGGATTTCACGGCCAAAAACGCACCCAAGATCCCTTGGGCCTTTGTTGCAAGTGAAGATCGTGAAGTGACGTTTAGGCTTTTCAGAGTTTCACGTAGGTCGCCTTGGGACAGCTCGACTTCGAAAATCGGCTGTGAAGATTGTGAGAACAATCATGCTCACAGAATGACAAACCGCAGCTGCACTTGGCTTCAGGATCATCAGTCCAAAACTCAATAGTTCTCTGTCGTTCAGAGCAAGAAAAACTTCACCTAACCTCCACAAACGTCCGCAGACCTTCTCACCTCGAAACGCTGTCTGGAGGAGTTGAACCAAGCTTCTGGTGAATTTTGCATCGGAAAGCACAATGCGGTAGGCCTTCCTCATTGCCGATCATCAGCTTGCACGGAAACGCAATTGCACAAATTTCCACAATATGAACATGTATGAACATGTATACAACAGTTTTTCTATGTTTTCTAATTTCATAATAGGTATAACGCCTGGATCACCTTGGCTGCAAAATGATCTGAGCACTGCTGTGCCTCAAAGTGTTTACCATTTCACGTGAAAAATTGAAGCCCTCTTACACTTCACATTATTGCGAAATTTGCAAAGAGGTGCAGTTCATGCGCAAAGTGCAGCCATACATCTGCAGTAAAGTCTTATTGTGCTCACCCAAGCAAGAAACAAGCACTGTGCAAAATAAACGCATAGTGCCATGCCTACCGCAGCTTGTCAATACATGCACGATATTGAGTTGACAACAATCTAGAACCATGTGTCAAAGTGAAGCAGCAGCCATGACCACGCGCCATGAAAACGAACCTGTTTTCCAATCCCCCTGTGGACTGCAAGGGGGGGCCCTCACACTGGAAATAATTTCTGGGTGGGATTTTTCTAGCCAATGTGGCTATATAACCCCTCAACATCACCACACAATAAGCCAAGAAGATACAGGACAGCGTGCAACAACCTGCAATTTAAATCCTCACCCCTACCTCCCCCTCAAAACAACTTCCACATGCAGTGACAAGAAGAGACGGTGAACTGATGCGAAACGCTGCGTGAAGCAACTGTGGCACGAAAACCTACTAAAAAAGGGTATCCATATTTTTGTAAAAAATTGTGACCCTTTTTGTGGGGGCACTGCAGGCATTCATCACAGCCCTACTCGTAGGTGTGGATTTTTGTCAAAAGGTGTCATCCTTGCACAAAGTGAATGTCATTGGACTTGGTCAGCCCTATTGGACAAACATAGTTTCACATCAGATTTTCTGACTTTGTGGTGTGAGTTGGGTCTTTGGGGATGAGTCTGGAGGCGGGGGTTGTGTATGGAATAGTGGAGATTCTTTTCCAGAGGAGCCACCCTGGAACAAACATATTTCAGTAAATTTCAGTGAAAATGGTCTGCCCCAAAGGACAAAATTTCTGTCACATCCGCTTTTCACCAATTGTGATGTGAGTCGAGTCTTTGGATCTAAATCTGGGTGTGGGGTGGTTGCATGTGGAATGCTGCGAATTTTTGTTCAGATGTGCAATCCTTGCAGAAGGTGAATGTCATTGGACAAGGTCAGCCCTAATGGACAAAAATAGTTTCACTGCAGATTTTCTGATTTCGTGGTGTGAGTCCAGTTTTGGAGATCTTTGGGGCTTAGTCTGGGTGTGGGGTGGTCGCTTTTGGAATGGTGTGGATTTTTGTCCAGAGGTGTCATCCTTGCACAAAGTGAATGTCATTGGACTTGGTCAGCCCTATTGGACAAAAATAGTTTCACATCAGATTTTCTGACTTTGTGGTGTGAGTTGGGTCTTTGGGGATGAGTCTGGATGCGGGGGTTGTGTAGTATGGAATAGTGGAGATTTTTTCCAAAGGAGCCGCCCTGGAACAAACATATTTCAGTAAA